TCTTGATAAGCGCTAAAGCAGATTAGTTATCTCTTAAGAGGTTCGTAGTCTATTAGCTTTCTCCTAAGTATTGTAAGAACCCTATATCCCGGAGTAATTAAGTAAGCCAGATTGCTTGTTTTGAACAAGTTAACATACTGATATACTCAGCCTCTGTTGTTAATATGGCCACAGATTATTGCTTTCGGCTCAGCCATGATACTGCTCCCCCTGCAAGGATAAAGACGCTGCTAATTATAAACTTTTGATCTACCTTGTTACTAGCATAGTCTGCATTAGAATATTTTATTAAAGACAGAGTTTCTAGTCTATATTAGATTCTCATATCCTTTGTTAAGCACAAATATTTTAAAAGATACTTTATTACAGATTTATAACGCTTTATTAGATTTAATATAAATTAGGCGAGTTTTATTATTATAAATATAATATCTAGTCTTGTATTTAATATTATATATATAATGCTTCTAACATACTTCTAGTATTAGCTTATATTTACTTGTTTGTCCTTATCTAATAGTAAGGCTAGAGCATTATATTTATTAATTAGTATCTTAACTAGTCTATGCTTGCCTTCTTTTATTTAAAGTTCTAACATTATTTTCTTAATATAAGTTAACTAGTCTAGATATAAAGTCCTTTGCTAGCGATTATAAGTTACTCTTATATTAAGGATCCTTTTAATCTCCCCTAGATCTTTAATCTTAAAGATATAAGCAAAGTTCTTCTTAAATTTAATTATATTAAAGAGTTATTAAGAAACAATTACTAGGTTATCTACCTAAGTGCTGATGATTATTCCTTTGTCGTTTATAAAGATACACAGGTCAGAAAAAGATAATTTAAAGCCAAGTTTTAACAGGCTAGTTACTATATAATTGTACTAATCCCTAGCGGCTTGTTTCAGACTATATAAGTTTTTTAATATGTGCAGAGCCATCTTATTTAGTATATTAACTCTATTAAGGGGTGACATATATATTATCTCTATGTTAGTGGATTCTGTAAATGTATTATTAACATCTATCTAGTAGCATTCTAAGTTCTCTACTACTATAATTACTAATAATACTCTTAAGGAGTTTATATACATTATTAAGGCAAAGGTTTCTTTATAATTAATATTATATCTTTATAAGAAACCTTAAGCTACAAGTCTGGCTTTAAATTAATCTACTCTCTTGTTCTCTGTATACTTAACATTAAATACTTATTTGCTTATAATAATGTTAGATCCTGTAAAAGAGACAACTTGCTTTTAAGTCTTGTTTGCTTATAATACTGTAAGTTCTCGCTTAATTATATTAGTCTAGTTTATGTTAAAAATAAGATCTAAGATTGCCTATTTATACATTGTTAGAATCAGGATCTTCTACTAACGTACTATATATACTCTTGTAATCTTTTAATTTTATAGTTTGTAATACTTATTATTATTATTATTTTGACTTTACTTGCTTATTACTTATAGTCCTGTCTTAGTAAGTCTATTTATTTATTATTAAAGACTTAGTTTTGTAGCATCTTTTTCTGTTTTTATTATAATAATCTCCTTATCTTTCTAATTATTTAGCATTAAAAGAACTTTAATTAATATCTTAATAAGTGTCTTTATTAATAAATTAATTTCCTTTACTATTAGTATAAGAGATACCTAATTAGTTAAGTTAACTATACATGATATAGCCAGATTTAGTTTAGCATCTTGATTAGTAATAGGCTTCTTTTGAGGTCGTCTTTGTAATATACAATTTAGTAAGGAATTAGGGGTCCCTCTTATACAAAGATTAATAGTTTTACCCTTCTAGAATTTATTAAATGTTACAACTAAGGAACAAGTTATATATCTAAGATCTAGCGTGTAGATACGAAACTGCTTTATTATATTCTCTTTGTATCTTACAAATACTCTTATACAGCTATAGTCTATTAGCTATTAAGGGTCTGTTTAAGTTCTCTAATATTGTTACTTCAGATCGTATTACCCATGACTTCCTAGAATGGTTATCAATAACCTCTAGGAAGTATTGGGCGCCGCTGAGTGCAGTTGGAAAGGGGCTATAGATATTAATTAATACAAGATTAAGAAGGTTAGCCTTACGCTAGGAAACTTGAGTATTTGTTTAGTTTCTCATCTTAGTCAGATTACACACTTTACAAATGTCTATCTTACTTAGCTTATAGATGGCTTTCTGCAATATAGTAACCTTATACAGGTCACAAAGCTTCTTCTCTCCTATATAAGCAAACCTTTTATGCTATAGTTTGTATTAGTTCTTTATAGTACCTTCTTTAAAGATTATTTGTTAGTTATAGTTACTAGTATCTTTATTCTCTTATTAACTATAGTTAATAAGTAGTTATACAAGTGTTTAGTATGCTTACTACTAACTATAATTATTAGAGGGCGCAAGAAGGGCATTACAGACTATAGTCTATATAGCTTAAGCAGGATATATAGTCTTTGTAGCTTTAGGACTTATTTAATTAATAATATAAAGCCATCTTAGTCTTATATATATAGTGCCTTTTTGTCAAAACTGCTAGAAAGCCTAGATTTATATAATAAAGAACTAGAGAGAAGGCTAGCACTTAGACTAGGTATATATAATATATTTGACAGGGTTATTACTCCTTCTTTTATATGTATTTAAGCATATTCTGCCTCTTTAATACGTAACTTTAAGTTTGTCACTGCCATCCCTTTGATTCTTCTCAGGGGTCCTCTAAAGAGAGAAAGCTAGTTAGTTATATAGTTAGATGTACTAATGTTAGCAATCCACTTAGGGGTCTTACAGGTTAGCTTTTCTGATGCCGCAAGATAGACTTCTGCTCTGCCTTTAGAGTTAGAAGAGAAGTCTTTTGTACTTGTGCTCTCTTCCTTAACTACTCTCGCCTTCGGCTTATTCCTCTTGTGTTAGCTTGCTTGAGCTCTGTTGACGATCTCCCTGATCTCTTTTATATGCTCTTTAATATAAGATAGACTTCTGCTCTGCCTTTAGAGTTAGAAGAGAAGTCTTTTGTACTTGTGCTCTCTTCCTTAACTACTCTCGCCTTCGGCTTATTCCTCTTGTGTTAGCTTGCTTGAGCTCTGTTGACGATCTCCCTGATCTCTTTTATATGCTCTTTAATATAAGGGCAGTTCCGCTATTTATGATTTCCTTAATAGGCAAAACATTTCAGCTGTTGTGGTAAGTGTTCTCAAGGTAAGGTTATGTCTTCTTAAGAGTAGAAGTAGTGTTTATGCATTATAGATCTTTGGGATGATTGTCGGCTAGAGGATGACTGGAACCTTATTAATAAATAATAATATTGCTTAAAGATAACAAGAGTGTTGTTCAGTAAGGATTCTTTCTTAAGGAGTCATTTTAGTGGTCTTTCGAAGTGGCTAGTCGACCATCTACTATCGATGGCTTTCAATTCAGCATGCTTGCTGATATGATATCGACGCTCAGATAACAAGCCTTGCACCATACGAACGACTGCTTCTTGCGGAATCGTATCAAAGCATGATTTCACGTCCATCTTCACGAAGTAGAGCTTTTCAGTGCTTGTCTGGACCATATTTATTGATAGTCTTGTCTTTGTGTATTTCTTTCTTAGTGTGTTTTATGCTTCCTTTACTAATATGTATTTTTTTATAAGCTCCTGATCTCTCTCTCTAATGCAGATATAGATAATATATCATGCCTTTATATCTAGCTTCTTTGCCTTCTTAATAAGTACTTTAGCATGTACTAATACTAGCCAGATTTCTTCTGCTTAAAAGTAGAAGATAAGGAGTTTAAATTATTATTTGTGATTAGCATATATAAGGATTAGTACTAGTCGTTTTTTTATTATAATATTATCTATTTCAATAGTAAAATAAGATAATAATTAGTATAGAATTAAATTAATTAAGATAAAAAGAATATATACTTTAATTGTCATAGACTTTTGAGCAAAGAAGAAATATATTAGTTAATTATTATTATACTTAGTTAATCCTAACAGGATTAATTAACTTATAAGCTGCAATAAGCTGATTTCTGAGTCTTAGGATAAACTGTAACGCGATTAACATCTCTACTCTTAAATCCACAGACTTGTAATTCTGTAGCCCTAGAGTATTCAACTCGCTCACGTTCCACAATTGAGTATGACATGACTGTACCTCGCCACAGGAGTAGCAGCTTGCTTAGTAATCTCAATTGGGCCTTCACTTATCGTTGATGTCTATAGCTGTTCTGCACTGGGCTCATAACCTGTTGAACGGGTATACGGATTAGGAACAGCTATCAACACTATCAACGGTCACAACTTGCATGCAGAGTGAGATTATAGTGCATCTGCACGTTAAGTGCAGATCCTGCTAGCGCACGGATCACGTGGTATTTCCTGTGCTGGTGGCACAGGAAATCCTGTACTATACCTGATTAGGCATAACCTGATCAGGCAATATTTGGCTGTACATGTATAGCCAAATAGTACAGACTATAGTCTGCTGATCAGCATGTATTCTTAACAGAATATACCTTAAATCACTCTTTTTAAAGCTAATAAAATTCTTATAAAGTATTAAAGAACTAAAAAAACATATCTATAAGTTAAAAGTATATTTATTCTAAAGAATCTGAATAATTTAATCAAATAAAAAAAGACTATATAATAATAATTAAGTAAAAGATTAAAAAAAAAAGTATTATAAAAACTAAGTCATTAGACTTAATACGTTATAAAAAAAGCAATAAGATTAATTATATTATATAAATTAGTTAGAAGGCTAAAAAAATGTCTAAAGAACATAAATATATAAAAAATAATTAATTTTTTTGTATTATAGTAGTGTATAATAATTATAAAGTTGTGGTATAAAAAAAAGTAGGCGGGTTGCTTGTATAAGCGGGCTGCTTGTGAACCACGTTATAACTTTGTAACTATAAGTCTATAATAAGAGTCTATCTAGATATTATTAAGTAATAATAAAAGAGGTAAGGTGTAAGTCTTTGCTTTAAGGACTAGGATAAGTGGGGGGGGGGGTAGAAAAATTAGGCCTGTAGCCGTAGTATGTTCTGTCGAGTAGTGTACTGGCTATAGTTCTCATTTATTTCGCTATTTCGTGCTGTGCCAAGAGCGACACCAATTGTTTCGATGGGCCTCGGTCCTGAAGGCCCGTTTCGCAGCTTACTCAGCCTAGATTGCCAATTGGATTTCACTGTAGAATCACTGCTGGTGCGTTACCTCTTTAGAGAGATTAATATTATCTCTTGTGCCACTGGATTGGACTCCTTCCTGAAATGGATTGGTGTTCCCAGTGATTTAGTAAAACAATCATGCATCACTCTAATTTCAAACATGTTATCATAGAAGTAATACCATTCGGTAGCCCTTGAGATAAAGACCATTTTAACATTTTGAAGTTCCGGAAAATCCCCTTTCCAAAATTCTATCCATTCGAGGAGGGATTCCAATTCAGGTGACGCAAGGGATATTCCGTTTTGGAAAGTCGCAAGTGTGTTCCTTGTCAATGCCAGAAGTCGCGTGCCTAGCTCCGCTTGAAACAATCCTCTGAACAGAAGTGACTCGTAATTCCTTGCGCTTGAGGTAAGTCGTGCATTGTAACGTGCTGGCATCTTTCTCGGAATCTAGACCAGGACATTCCGCGCCTTCTCCGCTGCCTGGTCCATGTCAGAGAATATGATGAGTCGCTCCAGCCTCCACTGCGTAGCAAGGGTAAATAGATGTAAAGATGCCTTCTTTCGAGAGAAGTAAGAGGAGAAATCCAAGGTATGCGTATCTCTAGAGACAATCGGTCACCGAAAGCTGGGAGGCTCTTCAAGGCATTCATGCGCCTACCGGGCTTATGTACATAACTATGTAACTACCCCCTAACTACTGAATTACTATCTTAGAAGGTTCATCCCATGATATCTCTGTTCTGTCCGATTAACAAACTACTCTGCATCTAAGATCAATACGCCTCTTGTGTAAATGATTACACGATGGTGTTATCGGTTACGACAAGGTTTTCAAGCGCTTTTGTCACAAATACAAAATGGACCCCCTGGAAATGATGCAGCTAAACAGATTGCATGCTTCTTAATGCTCAGATCCGCTTAAAGGGAGAGGCTTGGTCCTGGATCTTCTGGCGAAGCTCCGGTACCATGTCCTCAAACGCTGCCGATGCCGCCACACCAGCTGGCCTCAAGCAGGGCTCCGCTGTAGCTGGACGGCCGCCGGTAATCGCCACCCCATGGACACCCATGGTGATATAGTCGGCAAACTGGGCGCCAAAGGCGATGTGCTTTTCCTCTTTTGTGTCGTAGATATCACTGACTGTTAGCTGCCTGCCTTCTTCATTCTTGGTGCCCGCAGGGATTTGTATCTTCAACCGCAGGCCCTGCTGTTTGTCAATATCGCCGCGCTGAAACGTGAATGTTCCTTCCGGAATGTCTTGTAAAGATTCACCGTCTCCAGTCGGGTCAAGCTTGAAGTTGCTGGTGTCAAATTCGTGCATGTAAAGCCCAACCGGGTCCGCAATGGAGACGGAAGCCCCGGTAAGAGCAAGCTGATTGATCTTGAACCCGATCTAAATGGTAATGGTAAGCAGCGGAAATTTGGCAGTGCCATTCTGACAGGTACTTACACGGGGGTCTGAGTTTCGGTCGGGATCGCCATACCTCGAACATCGGATCAACTGGTCTGACTCGGTGACCGGTTGGCCCGTACTACGTGATTTGCGAAGGACAGTAGCTTGCGCGGCGATGTCAATTTCGGCTCCTAATGTGTTTGCGTCTTGGACCAGATGGGTTATCGTGCCGGTGGTGGTGGATGAGTTGTATTTGTTGTTAGGGTTGTAGATCCACTTCTGTTGATTGTTGGGGTCTTTGCGATCAACACTAAAGAATTGTCTCTTGTTCACGCCATCAAGAAGAGGAGAGTTCAGTTGGTAGATGTTAGATACAAGAGTATCTCTCTGATCAGACCCCAAGAACTGCCAGTACTGCAACAAAGTCAGCATCGCCAATAGTCGTAAATGGAGTGGGCAACAAACTTCTGGACCTTCACAGGTGAATGTCACGCTTATGATGTTGTTATCGTTGTCGCGAATGAGAGACCACTCGAGGTATTCATCCTGGACGTCTCGACTAGAGTCGGCGGCCTTCCAACGCCTTTCATCATTATTACCAAACCGAATGGCGATCTAGGACGCGTGAATCAATGCCGCACCAAAGATTATCTGTCAATTACCCTGTTTGGAAACCCGTTCCACACAATATTGACACCTGCCTGGTCTACGTCATACGCGGTGACGGTGCCGTTGAAGAACTGGGTTAGAGGTGTCCGGCCCTGATGATTACCCTCGATCTCATCGTTCATCCATTGAGATATGAATTCCCGAGACCAGGTTGATCGGTTAGCCGGTGTAAGCTCGTCGAGGTTGCCCGGAGCAGAGAACTCGGCGATGGTCGAAGCGTTTACTGACATGTTGCCAGCAGGTCCAGGTCTATGGTAAGGTGGTATAAATGGGACTGCTGCCAGCCGGTGAAAGGGTTCAACCAAGAAGGGGACAGAGCCCTGACCAAAGGCTGATGGACGGCTGTTTTGAGGCACTAGAATGATGATTGAAGTGGTAGAGGACGAGCACTTTGGTCATGCCATGGCGGAGAAGACAACAAATATAGGCAATGTAGTACACGGTCCCCACAACCCGGAACCACACAGTCGTGTAGCATGCATCAGCCTGCAACTGCCCCGCTTCCAGCAGAGTGGTGTTTGAAGGGTCTGGAGAGGTCTGCGCCAGATGCAGCCAGGAATGAGACGGATTGGTGAGCTGAATACGTTATCTTGCCGATAAGGCATTATTCTACAAGTCAGCTACGTGCAGTCAGCAAGCTTGTGTGAGCAGTGCGGCTGAAGGTGGCCCAATTCCAAGGTCGAGAAGAGGGCGGAGTGCTACTTACAGGTTCTAGACCAGGCAATACATAGCACTAGTAGGTGGCCTGAGGTATTGTTAGTCTGGTGCTAGGAGCATTGAGTTTTAGTTACGGTGACAAGGTGCATTAATTCGTTACTGTAATGCTTGTTCTTAGTACACATAATCCGATCGGTTTAACCATTAGTTACATCCCACTTCTTTTGAGAATAGCTGCTTTGTACTGATCATTTTTACCGTGGTACAGGCAAAGAATCTAGCCCTGAACTAACAATGCTGCAGGCCTGCCGTAGTACTTTGTAGTATCATGGGTACTTCATAAGTTTCTGGTCTCACACGTGTCTTTCCATGGTTGGGCGCCAAGCTGATTCGTGCGTTACCGTTTCAATACAAACTCACCGCTCTACCTATTTCTTTCGTCCAGAGTAGTTTTGGTTGAATTCTCTCATACGACCGATTGACAGAGGATATATCTACATGAAAAATGCTTATACAGAGTAGTATTGTTGGTGGGTGGACGGAGAAGAAGGTAGAGTTATTGCCAAGAGCTTCAATCACTAGTGTAATACATGGCCCCACTAAAAAAGTATGCCAGACTCGGAGTGCATTTGTCCCACCTCAGCTCTGCACTCGAGCAAGCTTCAAGCGGCAGTGGCGCCCGTCTATTCTTTGATGATATCCCTGTGTATCTCATCATTTCTCCAAGTAGAGAAAAGCTGCGAAAAGAACAGTCGCCTGGATCTGCTGATTTCATGTCCAGCTGTGTCTCTACTATCAAGGTTTTCTGCAGCAAGTTCCATTTGTTCTTGTTTAAGGCTGAAGGACTTGGGCCAGCCACAAAATGGCCTCCACTGACCTGTGGTACCGCCGCTTCAAACGGTCGGATGAAGATGACGAGGATCTGCTAGCTGATACGGCCTTTCGAGAGGCCAATTTCAAGGATTTCTTCGGGCAATGGCTACAGAGGGGTCAAAACGCAAATGTCAATAGCTTTGACGAGATTATGATGGAGTTTTGGAGTATGCCACATCGCAGAAATCTATCTTTGCCCTCACGGTTATTGGATCTAATATGCCCGGATTTTAGAGGATTCGCAGGAAACCCCGCCGAAAAACTCGTTTAACATCTTCTGTGCTGCAGATGGAGGGTTTATCCAGTGGGTCCCAGAGAAGAGCAGCTGGCTCAGCCAAGAAGTTCGGTTTGTTGCATTCATCTCGAGTGATGACCAGCCTTTCCAAGACCGGAGCGATAAGTCGTGGACTCTATGCATTGTTGGGTCAAGTGCTCTGAAAAGCACAACAGCTTTTCTCCAGGTCGCCAGTTGGGATACGAAAACATTTCGATTCTACGAAGTACGTTAAGCTGCCCCTCCTGATCACCGTCCCTTACAGTAGCTCTTCCAGCGGAATCCCGTTCAGAACAATCAATTCCAAACACCTGATGGCTACAACCGTATTGGCTGGATCTTTCAGGGGATGTCTACAAATGCCTTCGAGCAAGAGACTGCCTACCTCGGCCCCTGGAATGGTCATGTCAATGGAGCTCTAGTAATGAAGGAGCTGCATAAGTGAGTGCACTACAACAGTACGAAAACGACACGGTTGACCCTCAATCTCAGACCATGGCTACACTGGATCACCGACAATAATAATTTCGTGACAAGGTTGTCCGACAAGAATCAGGAGGATTTCTTGGCCGCTCCCTACCTAACTGATCAATCCGCTAAAACGATCTTCTCCGGAGTTTCCAGCGCAGAAAGTATGGAGATAATCGTTGAAAACGGCGTGAGCAAGTGGTACAATCAGCGCAGGGCCATGGATTTCCTGGATTCAGCCAAGAAGCCGCTGAATCGTCCTTCGAATGTAAAGAGATGGATGTCTCATCTTCTTCTCACTACTACAACAAACATCGTGCCCGCTTCGTCACTTAATGAGCAATCCTTCGCGCCTGCTAACCACTTCTATGACGAGGAGATGTTAAGTCAGTATTCCAAGACGGGTCTTATGGTGAGGGACATTCTAGACCACTTGCGAGCGCCAATATTGACCACGACCTAGGAAGGAATTGATATTCCCGATTTCCTCTTCAGGCCAACAGACTATGACAAAGCTTCCCAGAAGCTAGGGCTCGCCTTGTTGCAAGATGTCGAAGGACCTGCTCCGCCAGGGTATACCCTTTTAAGTCTGCCAGAGGGTACTCTAGGGGGTGGTAAGATTACTGGCTCATACGATACCACTGCCTTTATAGAATTGCAGACAGGTGAAGGTGAGGGTGGCATGTTTACCATTCTTCAGCCTTCCTACGAAGACGCACAGGGAGTGCTCAAGATGCAGAGTATCAAACCCGGAATCGGTCTAGTCAGCGCCGCAACCTTCAACGCGTTGATGATGGTGGATTTCTGGAATCCAATCTACTCGTGGCGGCGAGGAGTGCTGATGCAATATCTCCCGGAGCAGACCTCGTATGACTCTGCGAGTAAAACATATGATCTGGAAAGCCAGCTTATTGCTAACGTGAAGAAGTCTCATTCCTTCAAAAGTGGAGACACTGAGAGCCCTGAACATCAGTTCATATCTCTGTTAGATGTGAAGCTGGAAGATATGAGATCCAGGATCAAGAGATACTTCGACAACGTTGTAACTCGGTTGAACACCCTCGATGGCATGATCGACTACCTGACTTTGGCCGAGTCTCGACGAAGGATATTTCGACCCGTCCCCTTGAATGAATTTGGCCCAACTTTGCCATACGCCGTAAAATACGGTCACGAGCAAGGAGCACGGTTCGAGATGACGGAGAACGGAGAGATCCAACCTATGGATGCACGAGGTTTGCGCTTTTTCTACAAACTGACAGGTACGCAGGGTAAAGGGTCGCTGGCCGGGTTCGATCCCAGCATCATTCCGGAGGCCGACGACGCTGCAACCGATGAGCCAACGATGCTTACTAGTGTGGCTATAATGGATTCTTCTATGTCTCATACTCCGGCATTCATGCCGCACAAGAAGAGCCTCTGCCCATTCAGGCGGGCGCACGCTGCAGAGAGGGGCAACAGCAATATTTCCCTGCACAATCTGCCAGGCCCAGGGCCTACACATGACGATGACGGCTGCCACTAGTTCGCCGTGCAGAACATTACTGACGACTAGATCGATATGATCGAAGTTGAATGTTCCAGTTGAAATCTCACACGAGGAGAGGCTGGGCAGAGCAAGAACGCCAACATTGCAGTAGGCCGACAAGCTCGACTGCTACCAGCATTCCCGTGCGGAAGAAGAAGCAAGTTCATACAGTGCAACAGATTTGAAGCAACTGGCAAAGAACACTGTCGCTTAATCGTTGTTGCGATTGTTATGTATCGTTCTCAACTTTCTTATTAATAAAAACAACATTGAAATAAATTATTAGTCATTCATTAATTAACAACTGGTGATAAATATGTTACAATTGAAATAGGAATAGTTAAGGAGAGGAAAAAAGAGAAAGTCTTTTTCTGAATTGTGCATATTCTGCGTATTCTGTGCGCATTTTGTGCGTTCTGTAGATTTTGATGGTGTACGCCTTGGCGAGTCTGTGCAGCCTTGGCACCCTAAAGATTTTACTAATTCCACAAAGGCAGATGCAGAGTAACTTTATCCAATTAGATTGCTAATCCTCACAGGCCGCATCCTAAGCTTACAGCACTTTCAGCCAATTATTCGAGCTTGGCGGTAGTCTCACATTAGAGAGATGATTTCAATAGATTTCATCCGAAGTAGTTCACATTTCAAGACATCGAAAAGATTTCCGCGACCCCTAGTCCTGGTCTGTTCGGAGCGTCCAGACCAAGTTCCTCACCGGCCACGACCCGAAGCCTCCTGGGCTCGGATTTGAGTTGGGGACAAGTGGACCAGGGCAATTCCTAGAAGTTGGAGGATGATGAGGCTTGGCCCAGCCGGGGGGGCGGCTGGGCCGGAGGGATAAAATACTCGACTGTTCTCACCCTGTCCAATTCACCGTTTTTAAACAATACCAATAAAACCATTCTACGTTGAGATGTTTGAATACCTCTAATTGGATTATGAGAAATAATTAAGTAATTTAATGCTGTAAGACTTTTGGATTCTAATTATATTTTATTCTTTCAAGTAATTAAGAGTTAATCATTATTAGCATTTATTATACTAACTAACTAGTATTTAGAAGTATATATCCATTTCTGTTTGTGTGAACCTGTAATTTTAAATGGGTTGATCAACAAGAACAGTCAAGAATTTTGGCCCCTTCCTTTGCCCCAAACTGCGAGCTGGCCAGGTTCGAAACTACAACCAGAGAAAATGATGCAGGGGCGGTTAAGACAGATCACAACGTGACCCTGGTTGGGGATTCGGCCCATATGTCTTTTTACTCTGCTTGATGGAGCCCTAACCGCTCGAGACCTGAATTGTAAAAGCAGAAACCAACGAGCGAGAGCCGACCGCAGTGCAGGACCGTCGAAGTCCTTTTCTCATTGGCTCTGTTACGAGGACGGATGGTCAAGGTGGGAAGATTATTTATTCATATTCACTTTAACCCATTTCGTAAGCGCTCATTGCGCCCGAGGCGTCCCAAACCCCCAGCCCGACTTGGAGTCCAAATTAACCCCTATGATATTTTGAGCTAGGGGACTGGTCAGAAAGTTTGGGTTTCAGTGAGAGAAAGGTTCTTGCACTTCATATCTAGTCACTCACAAGTAGACTCGAAAATTATATTTCCATTCATTTTATTCCACGCAACTGACCACACCATAACATATTTCCAAGATTTTCAAACCATCTATTACCGATGTCGAACTCAACACTTCCTAAGAGCCTGTCTAATTCTTTCAATTGAATTGGGAATCACGATAGATATCAGCATTATCAGCCAACATTACTCAGAGCAGCTCTGGTCTCCCAGCATTCCCACATTCACTCAGCACCAGAGCATCCCCCTTCCTGAATTAGCCGGCAAGTCGCCGTCATGGATAACATTGAGTGCTTTGAGAGAGTTGGAGAGTTGTGCAAGTTTCCCGAAAAGCTGGAATCCAACAACGCTATTGCCGGACTCGCTGTTGGTTACTCAAGAAAATGATTGAGATAACCTATTGATTTCTTCTTAGGTCTTAATCCCTCTTGTTTCCATCTCGTCTGCCTGCATTATAGGTACCTTTTTCGCAATCGGCCGGCGCTACTACAATCTCAAGTGAGTAGAAAGCTCGTTTTAATATCTCTGTGGACTATGATTATTATCTTACTCGTTATCAGGGAGAGAGGATTTGACGAGGCTGATTCGGTGTTATCAACTATAACTCTCGCGCTCAGTGATATCCAACTTGCCAATAGCATTGCGTTTTCCATGTCAGCGATACTTCTACAACGAATCCGCAGTCTCTCTGCATATCACTATGACATGGCCTGTAACCTTGGACTTGCAGCCGCCTTTACTTCAGCCGGAACGATGTTCTCTCCTGTTTTTTCGCTCAAAAATAAATGGAAAAGTGCAGCACGCTTCCTTCTCCTTCTCCTATCACTTAGTCTTCTAGGTCATCTTCTAAAAAAACGATATGACAGAAATGACATTTTCCCAGGGAGAACTCCATCGAGCGACACACATAACGTCTCCTCATTAGTGGTACAGGTTTCATGTTTCTTCAATACAGAAATTCCTGAAGAGTGCAGTTTCAGTACAGATCGGCACGCTATACCTTTCTTATCAGATGTATTTGCTCTCATACCTCTGATTTTGATCATTTCCATCGGTTTTGGCAACCAAATGGAATGGGTCGAGTCTCGCAATGGGGTAGCTCGATTTCAGCCACAAAATCCATTCAAGTCCGGCATTGAGATAAACGAATACAAAAGAAAATTCTCAAAAAGAAGACTATTAGGAGAGCTGATGCCAGTCTTCTTGTCAGCTGTTTGGACGACAATCGCATTATGGCAGTGTTTCGATTTACGATGGTGGATGAATACCTCCGGGTGGTTAAAGGACGACAACGAGCGCGTTGTCGACTCCTTCGGCGCATTATTCTCCTTCTTCTCGTTGCTATCGCTTACTCTCGTTCTTGCCTCATCCTTTGATGGTAAGTGTGTCTTCGAGCCTTCTTCTCTTCCGTAAAGTCCTGCTAATAATCGTCTTTCGAGTAGCATTACATGAAAACAAGCAAAGACGAAGGGAAAACGTGGTTGAACAAAGACTAGCTCAAAACCCTCCGCAGCTCGACAGACCAGTTCCTAATCCCGACGATGAGCTTTTCATTGATGACGCTTACCCATTGGAACCCATGATCGCATTTGCTGAGGACGTAAATAGACGTTTTCGCTAGAAACATAGAATTCAATAAAGATACTGCCAAGTATTGTGCGTCCCAAAAGTGTTGCAATTAATTGCAACACTTTTGGGACGCACAATAAATGGGCGGTAGATTTTTAGCCAAGTACGCGGGGTCAGATGAGACGTCAATGGGATTATCCTGTCAGCAAACAGAAACTGTTCCTCCTGGTGAACCAAAAGGTGTTACCACCCCTGGCAACCAAGTCTTTCCAGAAATTCAATGGGGGATTGGCCCATTGGAATTCACACTTCATTTCCTCTGTTTCAACATACTTCCACAGTTCCCCTCTCAATTCAATTCTTTCCCCTCTCAACCACCCGAGCTAATCAATTAGAAGAAACCACTGGATGCCAAGGAGGAATCACTTGAAGTGAAGGATTGCTTTGTTCACAAGAGTCAGCAGTGCTTGAAGTCCTTAAGGTCCTCTCCTTCCTCGAGAGTTTCTTCTTTCCGTCTTGTCCTTAGTTCAGTTCGCTTCGCTCATAGAGACCCTATGACGCGCTCAGGTGGCCCGTATCAATAATATCAATTTAACGTCTTGTTTGAATTTCAGGAACACTATCTCCCGGCCAGGTAATAGTTTGGCACACTCTTGACGCCAAAAATTATTGGCACCCAAAAATGATGAATAGGCGATGGCTCATCTGACCGCAGGGTATCCTTCCAGTCAGAAGAGTGCCTACACAGTAAGAGTAGGGGCAGCTGTGTATCCATGATTCTTAGTGCTAAGAGTGTACCAAACTCTTGCCTGCGCGTGGGACAATGGAAAGGAACTCCATCACCATGCCGGCAATGCCGAATGAACAGTCATTAAAGGTCGAGGGAACTAGGGACGTGATCTTCGAGGGAGGGGACGTTTTCGGAACTCGATTGTTTTGAAGGATGTTATGAATAACGGAACGACAGAACTAGACGGAGTGACGGAAAGAGCGGCCACAGATCACATGACCACATGGTGCAATGGGTGCCAAAAGCGGCCACAGAGACTCCCGAAATCGAGAGTTAGGTTATAATTTCGCAGCTAAATTCGCAGTACCGTACAGCCAATTTGTTGAGCCAATTTGTTCAGCCAATTTGTTCAGCCAATTTGTTCAGCCAATTTGTACAGCCAATTTGTACAGCCAACATGTACCTATTTCTACGCACGCAGCTCCTTAACAGATAATACAACTTACTTTCTACGATCTACGGAGCAGTCCAGACAACCACCCTCTGACTCTGTAGTGAGGCTGGAGATCCTTGTAACAGGACCCGTCATTGAATTGATGATATACGTCCGCTACCGCAGTCGCTTATCTAGAAGGCTTGCTCGCCGTGCTCAAACCCATCTACTCTCCTCTAACTACTCGTCCTGCAAGGTTTATCCCCCATTGTTTGGTGGCGTACCAGTCATGTAATCTTTCGCTGCGATGCAAGGCCCCAAGGACTCTAAGCCCTATCTCGAGCTTTCTTGCCGACGTGTGTATACCAGTGTTATCGCGGTGCATGGACTTTATAGCCTGCCACAGAAAAGTTAAACACCTCCATTGAGCCGATAAGACCTTCAGACGGACTGTGAGGAAGAGATGCTGGACTCGATTGTTAGCAGCTGTATAGCGGGCGTGGGTGGTGAATACTTGGTCACTCGCACCAGGTGACTGATAACAAACGCGGCATTGAGAGGGTGAGGGCGAGGTAAGCTCGACACATTCTCGTAGTAGAGGTACAGCACGCATCTGGCGGGATCTCTGTTGTATGAGTGGTAAATGAAATCGTACTGCTCATAGATAATAGTGCACGACCTAAAGTGATAGAATACGACCAAGACTTTCAGCAGACTAAACCCGTTTGATAAATAGCAATGCCCAGAGTATTCCCCTGAGCACAAGTGTTTCCTCACACAAACACATATATTTTATTATTTTGCTGCTAGAGTAACTTCGGGCCTGATGGTGCAGTTGGTAGCACCGTCCGAGTGTCACTATATAGCAAATCGTAATCGGAATCGTACCCGGATTTGTGTGACTCGTAGGTACCAACGGTGTTAACAGTGGCACTGTGCTCATTAACACGTCGGCCAAAAAACCCTCTGGGTTTCTCCTAAACTCTGACCCATCACCACAAAAATAATGTGGCTGGTGGTTCGGAGTTCAAGGTTTTGATATTGTGGATTCTGGGGTATTGATTTTGCTGAGGCAGAGTGTTTGACAGGTCGAAACAATGGGATGAAAACGGGAGACGAACTAATAGGTGAATGGTGATTTCGATTGGGTTCGAACCATGGCCGTTCCTGTTCTTGCATTTTTATTTTCTTTCCTGTCTAAAATCCCAAGCTTTTAGGAATCCCCAATAGCCCTTCTCATACCTCCATAGAATCAGCCCCTCAACAATTCCGTCGCTCGTTCCAAAACTACATTTGACTTCTTCCAGACACCTCCCTATCTCCTCCTCATCCTCCACCTTGTTCATAATCGTATAGTGCGCTCGGAAGCCACCATTGTCTTGCTTGCTCAAGAACGCTTCCCACTTCGATCGCAAGTCTTCGAAGATGATCTTCGATTCCATAGCACCAGACGAGACCCCAATACCGACACCATGCTTCAGTCTAAAAGGCGAAGACGTCTTGATGGGGAAGGTCTGCTGCTTCTGGCTCAAGGAGGCTATGTCATGGCTGATCTCTTCGAGCTTGGACCCGGGTAAGGCACGGAATAGAGCAATATGCGCAGAGAGCTTGTTCAGATGTCGAGGAAAGTACCTATCTCGAAGAGCTGTGAGGGCGGCGTGGTGTGCTTGATCTGTCTTTAGGGATAGGATGTATGCTTCTTCTGACGGCAAAGAAGTTCGCGGGATGTGGTCCGAGTGACGCTGATAAGTTGATGCTGTGTAGGGACCTTGTGGTGAAGAAGGATTTCCGATCGACGAGGCACCTTGTTGATCTTTCAACCGATACAGCTGCGTCTGGTTCTGCAGCTTCTGGGGCGAGGCACTCGGAGAATCGGCTTGTGGAGGCTTCGCAGGTTGCTTCAGATCATGCTGGGGGCCAGAAAGCGCTGCAGCGTACGACATGGCCTTATTGGCAGCCGTGATCCGAGTTGAGCAAAAGGAGAGTGTTGTAATATTGGATACATGAACCCTGGTGCGCGATAGAATATAGTACAATTTGAAAGTTGTCAAGTTCATTTGCCCAGGCCCATCTTCCTAGATATTTCTCCCTGGTGAGTGACATGTCGCTGATCTCACCTCAACTCTTTTTTGATGCAGTGCTTGGGCACTCTTGCCAAGACAGGAAAAAGATAGATGACGACGAGATGTGAATCAACCATCAATCTCATCAGCATGATGTCGAACAATTGAAAAGGAAAAGGAAGCAGAGCAACAATGTGCAATTTCCGTAATGTGATGAGCGCTTCATGTTAAGCTTGATAGAAAATAGAAACATTGATTGCCATATGCAGCCATTCGTAAGAGAATGAAACCCTAAAATCAATCCACCCAACAACTTAGATCGTCGATCGGGGCTCGACAACCTCTTACCATCCACATCCGTCCGGTGTCTTACTCTCCAGCTCCAGCCCGTCTTGTACCTCCTAATCCCGTCTTTGGTACCTCGCGCACTTCCCCACCACCTCCCCACCACTCCAGGTCACACAACCATTTGTGCGGAACCCACCTCCCCATTCTCCGCGACCTCCCCCACCCACCGAAATCCTGATCTCCATTCTCACCCAGCACGAGTATGTCGTCGCTCTTCCGCTCGCTCCTGTTTCCATCGTATTCGTCGCGCGGCTATTCTAGCATTCCCTCCTCGGCAACCGCATCGGAAGAGGAGGAAGAAGAGCTTTACCGCATATCCTCCTCGCCCCTCGACTCGAAACCTCTACCTCCAACTCCTCGCCCCCTCTCGCCTTTTCGATTATTCCTGCGAGTCATATTATGGCTGGTGGCGGTGGTGATGTTCTTCGGTCTGGGGGCAGTGGTGTTTCTGGGTCTGAGGGCTTTTGGGAGGAGTGAGGGTGCGGATGGAGGGATTTTGAGGAGGGGGTGATTCAATCAACAGTGATGTGTTGAATGATTGATTATGGTTTTGGTGGACTGGGCAAGACGAGTCGATGAGTTCGAAGCCAATCCATTGTATTACACTGGTTTGTTGGAGGTCTGCTAGAGTTGGTGGGTGTTTGGATCACGAGTCCTGCGAAGACAATTGAAGAGGTGTGTAGCAGTGAGGTACGTCTGATCTACAATGAAGTTGAAGGTTGGACGGGTTTTAACTGGGCTCCGAAAAGCTACAGTTATCAACAGATACTAACACGCTGGGACCTGACCACCCACTCCGCATTCCGGCATGGTCAATCAATGACCGATGACGATAACTGACCAGCTCGGATGTATAAAAGTCCAATTCTGAAAGCACACCAACAATCAAACCAGGCGCTCACACTACTCTCTCAGCTTCTGGTCTCCTCGTTGGAAGGACACCACCATCAGCGTTCGTGCTGATACTGAACTCATCCACCTCCTCCCTCAACCTCAACGGCACCCAATTCGTCCTCCCATCCCAAATACTCACAAAAGCCATCTTATACCCCCAAATCGCCATCCCGCTCCCAATCAACCCTCCAAAAATAACATCATATGCATGATGATGGTGGCCCAACACCAACGTCGAAGCCAGATACGTCGCCAATAAAATCGGCGCAATCACAACCAGCATCTTCAGATACTTGGGCCGCCTGCTCACGAGCGTTGCCGAGAACGAGAAGACACGAAGATGCGCATTCACATAGATAGCAAGATAGAGCAGGCCCGCGAAAGCGATCTCAGCATGGCCGGACGGGAACGATTCCATCGCATTCTGGATCTTGCCCGCATCCCCAGTGCAGACTTCCGACGTGTACATCACGGATTGGAATCCAGCCCCCCTCACCGCCGGAACTCTGTTCCCATCAATGACAGGTTTACAGACCGACAAGAAATGCGGCCGGAACCCACCAATTGACTTCTTGAGCACCACTTGGAAGAACGTGCCCGTAACCAACGAAAACGCGAGCCCGAGGAGCGCGGACGAGACATCTTCGAATCTGCGGTGGCCCGGGTGCAGGGGTCGGATCTGGCAGAGGAGGATCACGGCGATGGGGAGGAGGGCACAAAGCAGACCGGCTGCTGCGGCGGAGAATATTGGAGAGACGTAGGGGTAGGCGAGGGTTGGATAGACGATGTCGCCTGAGCTGGAGAAGGTGATGGGGAAGTAGCGGACACGCGTTGGGTGCACGGTCCAGAGCTGGATGTTACACGGAGAGATGTCAGCTTTGCGTTCATACTGGTGAGTGGGTGGGTTGTTTGACGGGGCCGAAAACGTACACCGGCGGTCAAGATGCCCACTGCTGCAAGCCCGGCCCAGTCAAGCCATGTCTGGCGGAAGAAGTTGAGCAGTTTGGGGAAAAAGCCGTTCGAGCTGCGGATGTCGGCTAGAGTGCGTAGATTGTTGAATCGACTTGGCCGTGTTGTCTTATCCTGGGTTTGCTGGGTAGACGTGGAGGGGTGATGTGTGTCCATCTAGGATCAAGGGGTTGCGCACGCTCAGAGGAGTTATGAAGATTTGGCCTAAAGTCACGCGACCAGTAACAATGAATTTCCCTTCGGGGTTTGTGGAGGGCCACTTGTAAAAGCGGTGTATGTGAGAGCAGGTAGGGAGAATAATGAGAGAGGTTGCAGCGCAGGCAGGCAGCACGCTTCGTCTACCAGTAGAACTATAAACGAACTACGAGCGAGGATAACGCGAAACAGGATTCAAGGGCTCTTTCGTGTTCAAGTTGTGTGGTGTCTGCCAAGATCAACGTTGTGACACACTGGCAGGCACTGAACCTGAAATTGGGCACTACAGGAAGCAAGGAACCGGGCCATGACGGGGGTTGTGCCAGGGACCGGAGGACTTCTAAGGGGATCGCTGGAGCCTTTGGGCCAGAGACGCCCTGGGCACTGCGGCTTAGCTGGCTTGGCTGGCTTGGCTGGGCTTGGCTGGGCTTGGTTGTGCAGGAGTTTCGGCAAGTTTTGAACGGGGTACGTTGGTGGTTATAAGTATTTAGCTCAGCAACTTGTCACTCCAGTACGTAGTACTTTTGGCTGGTGTTCGGCTGAAGGGCGGATGGTACATACCGAGCAAGGTGATGTTATGTATAATGGTCATCCGTTGTCTGGCTCGAGACTTGCTAAGGCAGGACATGCATCGGCCTCCACGGGGCTGCTTATTTGGACATTGACTACACAGGTCGAGTCTGCTGGGAACGTGACATCAAGGGTCATGTCCTTTGTACTCCCGTTGCTGCAAGCTTCATCTCTTATTTCTCAACGTCTTCCAAGGATCCTCGTCTAGGAAGCTCGGTCTGAAGAACACAATATCCCCTTGCTCATTGGTCCGTTTGCCCTGTCCGTACTCAAACAAGTCTTGACGGGTGACAGAAATGCCGGTCACAGGACTCGTATACACTATTGGCGAGGGATTATTGGAAGAGGTGTTGGGTTTGTAAGCCGATGACATGGCGTTCTCGGGTGTTGAAGCTGTTGTGGCACTGGAGCCAGGATGAGCGAAGGGGGGCTTTGCTGGCAGATCTGCTGCTCAAGCAAGCATAAGAGTGTCAGTCCCAACATCAGGTCATACTTTTGTGCTTCGAAACCTACCGTTTCCGCCGAGCCTAGATTTTTCGATCACACTGTACTGAGTGAGGGGCCTGGAAGAAGGCATGCCAGAATATGCTAAAAAGAGAGAGGGACTGATATCAGAACACCGTAATTATCTCGAACACGTGTGATCTCCTATAGTGAAGCCAAGAACATGAGAAATAGTGCCTTTGCAACGCTAGTAATCTTCAAAGATGCTGCATTTCTCTCTAGAGGAAAAGGAGTGAAGAAGCGACAAGCACGGATAATCTGAACGAGCAAAAGAGGTTGAAATTTACTCTGAGTTTGGGTTGTAACTTCGAATCGCTTCGGCAGGAAACAAGGACATAAAGCAATGTCGCAAGGACCTACCAGGTTTTTGCATTCCAAACCTAGCAAATCCCATCATCTCTTGCATCTGTGCATCCGCATCGGCGTCGTGGGTATCCATCGGCGGCGAAGAAGAAGACATTATATGGAAAATTGTTAGAAAGGAATATAATTTTTAGGATGATCTTGATGGTGGTCAAAGGCTTGATTACCTCCACCTCTCGGTGTAATATTTGCCAAGCCGGTGATTCACTGATTCTCAATTTCTAAGAGGGATGCTGAGGATCAACTGACTGTGGAGGAGGCCCATTTGACATTATTCTACAGAAGATGGAAAGTGACGGAAAGAACATAGCAAGCAAGCTCCTAAAATATATTATAGACCCACGGTCGTCTCCTCGGCGAAGAATCTGAGCAAGAGAGGGCACCGCTGGAAGAGGGCGCTGCAAGTACATGAGATACCCATCCATCTGTTCTGTTGAGGCACAGGGAATCAGTCCCAGTCTATACCATACCGTAACGCCTTCGTTGCTCATTCATGAATACTGGCGTTCAGCAACAGCCCTCGAAATCACACCGCTGAATCTACTAGCCATGTCCGCATCCTGTTTGGCAGTTTCGATACCAAGCAATATCCTCTTGATGCCGACACCAACTTCTTGGCTCTGCGTAATGTCCCTGATCTCCTCAAGAGATCTTTGGATGTCCTGCGGTGAGAACGCTCCTGATTTCTGCATGACGTGTGCCAACTCCTCGTAGGAATTGACGTTCGGCACCGGGATGTCAGAATTGAACGAATTGAAGATGTCTAGCTGCTGTAAGACGGAACGCTCGTTCGTCGTGGCCAGAATCAGAAGCCTCCGGCCTTTGGGAGGCTGCTTCGATAGTAGCACCATGATGGTTTGAAGAACCGAGTTGCTGAATCGAGGACCGATTGGTACCCAGTCAACAATCCGCTCGATGTTGTCCATAACAATAATGCTCATTGGACTCTTGTATGCATCCATAAACACCTTGCTCAAGTACTGAACCTTGGCCATCTCGTTGAAACCAACCATGTCTTCTGGACTGACAAGCTTGATGAATGGATATTCCGAGTCTATAGCGATTTTGGCAGCAAGCGCAGTTTTTCCACTTGCAGGTGGTCCATGCAGTAATACAGAGAACAAGGGCGTTGAGTCTGGTTTCCGTACTTGCTCTACAAATAACCGGCCTTCAGCAAGAATGTTGTCGATGAATGGAGAATAGTGAATGATGCCACCATGCAAGCACTTCTCAAGCTCGGCTTCTGACACGCCGAAAGCAGGCTTCACTTCCTCAAGGGCATTGAAGAAATCTTGACGGTTCACCTTCATTTGGTCGATGTCGTCGCTGATACCAGCCATGGTGCCAACCTTGACGTGTCTGTTGAAAGCGAACGAGGTTGCAGACTTGACCAGACCGTTGATCTCAGCGCCAGAAAAGTTCTTAGTCAGATGAGCAAGCTCTGCGAGATCAACGTCGCGATCCATTACGTTATTCTCCCGCATCTTCTGGGTGTGAATCTTGAGAATCTGTGATCTGCCGTGCTCATCGGGTAGAGAAATCTCCATATGCACCTCGAGACGACCTGGCCGTAGAAGAGCATCGTCAATCATGTCCATACGGTTGGTCATACCGATAAGGAGAATGTTGTTGAGCTGGTCAACACCGTCCAATTTCGAGAGAAGCTGATTGACGACACTGTCACCTACTCCAGTTCCGCCACCTGCACCACTACCTCTCTGCTTGCAGACGGCATCAAGCTCATCAAAGATGATAATGTGTAGTCCCGACTCGTCGCCCTTCTCCTTGTACTCCTTCTCTGCGTCTGCGAAGAGCTTGCGAATATTCTCTTCGGACTGACCGACATACTTATTCAACACTTCAGGTCCATTAATGACTTTAGGCTCCCGAGCATTCAACATTTTTCCAATTTGTCTCGCAATCAAGGTCTTTCCAGTTCCAGGAGGACCAAAGAGCAGGATACCTTTGACATGCTGTATGCCGAGTTTTTCCACCAAACCAGGAGGAAAGATGCGGGAGGCAAATGCTCTTCGGAAAATGGTGCTGAACTCTGTATCAAGACCGCCAATGCCCATGTTTTCGAACTTGAAATCAGGGGCAACAATTGAGTTCGCAGCCGGTCTCCGGGTGGAACCCTTGAGCTGAATGGGCGTCTTTGCATCTTTGTAAAAGTTGATGGCAGTGTGAGCAGTAACGATCCCTCTAGCTGTGGGGTCAGATGTCGTTGGAGCGGACGATGACTTCTCCGTAAGATCCATTAACTGTACCGTCTTCACAACTAGTAACAGTGGTATACTCCGGAGATCCATCATAAGCCTCTGGCCAGGAGCAAAGACTTGATTCTCAAAGAGCTGTGGGAAGGTCAGTCATGTACAATCTTAAATCCTTGATCGAACACACCCCGGTAACAACTTTGGCCAATTCATCTTGATCGTATGGCTTCTGCTCTTGCTTTTTCTGGCTTGCAAATCCAATCTCCATGTCCATTGCTCCTAAGTAGGCCTGGCCGCCATTACTGAAGGGGTCGTACATCTCCACGCTGACTATATCGGTCAAGGCAATACCCATCCAAGTCCGCTGAGCATCGGACAAGCTTATCTGACCGGGTGGAAAGCCATCATAAGGCCGAGCGGACACAACATAAGCATTTTGTAGGAGTAGAAGAATATCACTACCATCGCGTGAAGGTGGTATATCCATAGGCGAGACAGCCACACTGCACCGTATCAACACACTGTCAAACTCACTCGTGCAGAGTTTCTGCTTACAGATTTCGAAACGTATATGTATTGTCTGGACTCTTTGCAGGTCTCAGTTGCCACGTTGCTCCAGGAGTTCCTTGCCTGCCCTTCATACCACTGGATCTAGAGGTCATGCCTCTTTGTGAACCGGTACCGTCGTACTGGGGCGGTGCTGGTGAATGTCTGCTTGCTCCATAACCATCGTGCATTCGAGTATCGTAGTCTCCTCTGCCACGTGGTGGATATGCCTGTTCATTTCTGCGCGGAGGTGCAGGACCTTGACCTTGCGAAGCATAAGGGTCTCTAGGTGGAGCTCGAGCAGCACCGTCCTGCCTTGAGCTGAAAGGGTTCGGTACCGAGGGGAGGTTGTTACGGTTGAACATTATGAAATATACAGGTTGAGAGTGGAAGCAGGGAGACAGTGTATGTTGTTCAAGCAGAGAAAGAAGACCTCGGTGGAGCCCCTCGAGGTTGGACCTTCAGTGGTGCCTGTTCTGGAGCGGCAAATCCAGCAACAAACGACACTTTGGCTTCTAACTTCCTATCACGGGTTATTTGTCATCTTTATCCGCGGAAGCTGTTGTAAGCTGTTCGTATTGTGCGTTCTCTGGGTGTGAACGACAGAGTGACGTCTGGTGGGGGGTTTCTTTGCAGGCAGAGAACCACTTGTTTCGTGTTGATATTTCTTCCACGCAACAGATTGAGCTATGCCGCTGTAAGATTGCCATCATCACTTATTGTGGCATACTTGCTAACAACTACGAAGTCATCTACTGGGCAAGAAGTCATGGAATGTCTACAACCAAGACAATATCGACCGAGTGCGCCGCGACGAAGCCGACGCACAAGCCAGAGAGGATGAAGAGGATAGGCGTCACCAACTTGTTGATTCAGAGAGAAGACTGAAGTTGTTACGCGGACATGAGGTCGATGACCTGCCACTCAAGGAGAAGTCTCCACTTCCTGTCAGCCGTAAGGATGACCATGGCCACGGCCGCAAACGACGACGAATTGCAGGAGAAGATGACACCGACCGTGATATGCGACTTGCTACAGAAGTGGCTGCTCTACAAGCAAGAACATCGGGTGCTTTACGAACGTCAGACGAGCCGCTTACAGATTCACAAGGACATATAGACCTCTTCACATTGAGATCACAGCACAAGGAGAAAAATGCAGAGGCGGAAGCCGAGCGAGCGAAGAAGAAGCGAGAGTATGAGGATCAATATACCATGCGATTCTCCAATGCAGCAGGTTTCAAGCAGGGTCTGAACACTCCGTGGTATTCGACCGCTAGCCAAACCGATGCAGAAATCCCAGGTAAAGATGTCTGGGGCAACGACGACATAGGCAGGAGGGAGCGAGAGAAGATGAGGGTCAACGCTAATGACCCTCTCGCAGTAATGAAAAGAGGTGTCAAGCAGCTACGAGACGTGGAAAAGAGCCGCAGCAACTGGAAGGCAGAACGTGAAAGAGAATTGCAAGAGATGAAATCGCTGGAGCAAGAGGATTCCTCTAGTAGAAGGAAACGCAAGCAACGACGACGGCATGGGGACGACTTCGACGACTTCGACGAATTCAGCTTGGACAAATCGTCCAGAGAGCATCAAATTCAAGACAGGCACCATAAACTACATCGGCATAGACATCATAGCAAGAGCCGACATCAAAGTTGACACAATGCCCAGAGCGGCAAACGAGTCATCTTTCATTCTACCACGTACTCTGCATATACTATAATATAAGCAGTAAAGCCAAACTAGAATTCATCCTAAGCAATGTTGCAAATATATTGTACTCCGTAGAGATTGGTGATACCATGCATTGGCAAACTAGACTGCTCCGTACCAAATGATCGGACAGGCGACTCAATAAGTAATTCTACTTATACTTATTGTTTGTCCTCTGTTGTAAGCTGTCACAAAATCCAACGAGAGGCAATGCGATCTCCTCATTGACGAACTCGTGATACTTGTCAGATTCCGGAATCTTTAGACGATGTCATCACAACTTTCTTGACATACAGGAGAGTGTCGGCCGGTTGACAGTCTCGCCATAATTCTCTGTAGTCTTTCATCCCTTTCCTTCCTCGTCATTGCCGACTTTCTTTTGTTTCTGTCTTCATTCGATTTCAAGTGGACCGAGCGACAATATTTGGTACTCTCTGAAGCCATGAGTTCTTCAACTCGAAGTGGCTATCAAAGTCCATGGGCACCCCAAAAACAACCCCCGGGAAAGCAGTCAAAACGGCCGACTTCACTGGGAGGCCACACTTCTTCGTGGTTTGATCGCTTGCATCGCCACCATGATCGTAAACATCTTCAGTCCAACGACGACGACGACGACGACGAGGAAAGTCCTTTACTCGCGAAAGATCAACTTTACGAAGATGGCGAAGGCGCTCATAGTCAACCAGCACTTCCCTCAACACTTCCATCCGAGCTCCGTGGCTTCTTTTCTGCCACCAATAATCATACGCGGAAAGCATACGATACATCTCGCGGATTTCTGGTCCGTAATGCAAAGTACATCCTTATGGCATGCTCACTCGCGTTGTTAACGCTGCTTACCTCTATTTTGATTGGTTCCTTCTTCCATCGCAAGGACGACAAGAAGATTTACTCTTGTCAATCACCCGAGTGTGTACATGCTGCGTCTGAAATTCTTTACAATCTCGATCCTGATTATGCAGAACTTGATGCCTGTACCCAATTCGATAGAATGGTCTGTGGCGGTTGGCAATTGCGCCATGACCTCAGGCCAGACCAAGGTGACATGTTCACAGGGACTATCATGGCCGAGAGATCCAAGACCATTCTGCGACATATCTTGGAAGAAAGTTCTTCGAAAGCACCGTCTTCTCCAGCAGATCAGGACAACTTCCAGAAGCTCAAGGATGACTACGACTCCTGCATGAACGAAAAAGAGCTTCAGGAAATTGGCCTCAGACCGCTTCAAGGTATCATCAACCAGATCAAGATGTCTTTCCCCTTGGCCTTTAATGATGTTGGGCACACTACTTTTAAATCGCCCGAGACCACCTCTCAGTGGAACGGGATTGCTGACGGGGCCAACCAATTGACGGAGGCATTGTTAAATCTGATAAAGCTCGATATTGGGGCATTTCTAGCGTTTCATGTTGAGGTAAGGGTGATTGCTATACTGCTCTCATTCAGCACATTCCAAACACGAATGCTGGAAATATCCAATCGTCAGGAGTTTGCTGACATCCAGTATATCTAGGCTGATGACCGTGATCCTGATAGCCAAGTCTTGATGGTCACGCCACCACGCCAGATTGGTTTACCAAGCAAGGAATATTATGAGAATAAGGAGGTCGTTAAAGAGTATCAATCGATAACCGCTACAGTCCTGAAACAATTTTTCGAGGACCTCGGTAACGCTACGCTCTTTCGATATCGTCGCAACAGCGACTCTTTGAACAAGTCTCCGTACCGGATGGCCCCACAAATGGAGATTAATGATCTTGCGCACGAAATTGTCGATCTTGAAGTTAAGCTGGCAGCAGCTACGCCGCCAACTGAAGAGCAGGAAGATGTTACCAAGTACTACAACCCTATGACTGTCGAGGAGATACATGGCTTGCTGCCGCAGGTATCCTTCGACTACATCATCGCCCAACTGGCTCCGAAAGGATACTCTCCAGAGAAGATTATTGTCGGTTCTCCAGCGTATATGGCTGCTCTTGCGAAACTACTTTCCAGCTCGACAAATGAGACGCTGCAAGCTTTTTTTGTTTGGAAAGCCGTACAACGCTACGAAAAGAACATCGAACACGCCTCACTCGAGCCACTCAGAGCTTTCAACAACAAGCTACGTGGGCTTGACCCATCCGCGAAAGAGGAGAGATGGCGCACGTGCATCGATGCTGTAGATCGAGATCTTGGCTGGATACTGAGCAAGTTCTTCGTAGAAGCTGCCTTTTCCGAAAACTCTAAGAAGTTTGGTGATCAGATCGTTACCGATATCAAAGATAGCTTCACAACGACTCTGGAAAATACCGAGTGGATGTCCAACAATGTTCGGGATCGAGCCATCAAGAAAGTGCATGCAATTGATCAAAAGATTGGCTATCCGACGAGCAACCCTAATGTGCTTGATCCTGAGGCGCTGAGAAAGTACTACGATGCAGTTGTCATTTCTAACACGACATTCTTCGAGAACAAGGTACAAGTCGCACACTTCGAGACACGGCAGGCCTGGAACAAGCTAGGCAAGCCTACTCGACGTGACGAATGGGACATGACCGTGCCCACCGTCAATGCCTACTACAACCCGGCCGGCAACGAGATTGTCTTCCCGGCCGGCATCATGCAAGCTCCAGTCTTCTACGACCCATCCGTGCCGCAATACCTGACCTACGGTGCCTTCGGCGCAGTCTCCGGCCACGAACTATCCCACGCCTTCGACAGCACCGGCTCCCACTACGACGAGACCGGCAACTACACCGACTGGTTCGACGAATCCACCCAGCAAGCATTCGAAACCAGAACCAAATGCTTCGAGAAGCAATACGCCAACTTCACCATCTCGGGCCCCGATGGCGAAACGCTCCACGTCAATGGCAGGTTGACGCTAGGGGAGAACATCGCCGACGCAGGCGGTCTGCATGCCGCATTCTCGGCGTGGAAGAGGAGAGAGGCGGACAACCCCAGCGAGGCCTTACCCGGTCTACAGCAGTTTTCGCCTGAGCAGCTGTTCTTCATCAGCTATGGCACTTGGTGGTGCGATAAGAGTACCAAGGCCAAGGCGGTGGAGAGGATCTATACGGATCCGCATGCGCCCAAGTGGGCGAGGATTCTGGTGAGTTCTTCCTCTCTGTGGATTCGAATTTGCATGGGGAATTCTTGGTGAGCCAGGCTGACTTGTCGTGATCACGCAGGGCACGATGGATAATTCGGCCGAGTTCAAAAAGGCTTTCCACTGTCAAGATGTGGAGCCGGCTTGTAAGCTTTGGTGAATGAATGAGCAGCTGGCGTGGGAGAGGCTAATGCAAGAGCGAACCCCGGGCCTAATGGTTGTACAACCAGATTGGTGGACGTGTGTATCTTCAGCGAGGTTGTTGGACATGATATCCTCACGGACTGACACGACATCGTGTGGTGCTACTCACATACTTATACCTTAGCATAATTAATACATATCACGTTGGTCATCGAGCAGATGGCCTTCACCATGCCTTGTTCACTTCTACATAGCTCCCTTTGTTCGAAGGAGATCGAACGAAGAGCTCTTTTCGTATCATTTTCACCAATCAACTGGAATGTCCCATATGGTATTACGCTATTTGACCACCGCTTCCTGTGATGCCGATCCTTTCCTTGGCAGAAGCCCGCTGCTAGTAGTAGTATTAAGTCTCTGCTTGTCCTGACCAGCAGAACTAGGTGCAGAAGGAGGAGCAGAAGAGGACAACGCTTCAAGCCTGCTAGATTGCAGACGGTGTTTCTGCAGAATGCGGATCCATTCTGGGATTGGCATATCGCCTCCACCATCACCATCGCTACCACCGTCCTTTGGCTTTTGATCTGTTGTTCTTTCTCTGCTTGTTGTCTGCTGGGCCAATGGGAGAGACGCTGCGTCGTCATAATCCTTCACTGCTGCTGCTGCTGCTTCTGCTGCTTCTAGTCCTCGAGCAGGCTCCCCTTTCAGCTGCGCGATCTCCTTCTCACCTATTTCTCCTTCTTCCTCGCCCTTATCTTTATCATCGTTGTCGTCGTCGTCGTCAAGAAGACTCTCAATGACCATACTGAAATCCGCGCCGAGACGGCCCAGGCTTCCCGCCGCGTAGAGGACTTGCATGAGTAGTGAGTCTCGGGCTGAGGGGTCGGTGAGGTTGGGGAGATATTGTTGGAGGGTTGAGGTGAGGTGCGAGATGAGGTGGATGGGGAAGGTTTGAAGGGTTTGGGGGAGGGTAAGGAATGGTGGTGATGGTGTTGATGGAGACGTGGCTGGGGCTGGAGAGGAGGATGTTGAGTTGGTGATGGTATTTGGATCATCCGAGGCCGGTGGGAAGATGTTCTTGTACATGGAGACTGTAGCGAAGGATTGTTCGCGGAAGATCTCGATGTAGCGTTTTAGATAGCGCTCTGTCTGTTGGCCCGTGAAAGCGGAGTGGCAGTACATGAAAAGCTTTCTTTGAGAGCTGGGCTGTTCATGGGAAGGGCTAGTAATTGTTGAGCGGGTTTGTCTTTGCAATCGTTGCTGGGTTTCTTGGTCGGCGAGGTCACGCAGGGGAGCGAGGGCTTCGAGCATATTCAGGAGGTTGTATAGACGGCACACCAAGAACAGATAGCCGAAGGACCCTTCAGAACTTGTGTGGGTAAAGCTCCTGCTAGTGGAGTATGGGCTGCTCTGCGCACATTTGGCAGAAGATAGGCGTACGCCTTGTGTCGCTAATTCCGGGGCAACACGCCTAAGCCAACCGATAGTTCGGATAGCGGCTGCAAGTCGGATGTTCTGACCTCTCAAAGATGATATGAGATTGCTGGTCATGTCTTTCATTACTCCTTCTGCTTCCTCAAGGATTGACTGTACCAGTGCTGAATCAGGGTGTATCATCTGCAGACGTTTGATATGGGCAAAGAGGTCTAGAGCCTGGGAATAATTGACACTGCTTGCAGCAGAGCCAGAAGAAGCAGAAGGAGTGGAAGAAGAGGCTATGGCGGTTGCTAAGAGAGTGGGAAGCTCCAATATATCAGATATTCTGTCCACATTCCGCGACAAGAGCATGGCTCTCTTTCGCCTGTCAAGGACTGCATTATCTGTATTCGACTTGCTGTATCTCTGCAAGAAGGCGACCGCTTTCTCATCAAGATCTGGTACGCCCTTTCGGAGATTGAAGGCAGAGGATGTGAGAGCCGGTAGGTATTCGCCAAGTGTTGATAGTGCATTGGAGGTCGTTATGACAGATCGATGCGACCTTGAGGAGAGAGCTTGTAAGGAAAGTAGATTGGTATTCAAGGCTTGAGCCAGAGATTGAGTCTCGGTAGTCGACAAGGCTGATAAGGATAGTGATGTGAGGTGGGAGAGGTAACTCGTTGCGTTAAAATGCACGGAGGATGATGGAGCAACTTGGGAGGAGGTCGAAACGTTAGGGTTGAGGTGAGAAGCAAGAAGCTCATATAATGGGTCTGCAGCCATCTCAGTCTGCAGTCACCAGCTAGAATGGCCTTGGGGACGTCAGTATGGACCAGCCATCATCTCGCCCTTCTCTGTCGAGACTGACGAGCGCAGCGTATCCCCTCCGTCCCTGGGTGTGCCTATTAGCGTACTTGGCGTAAAATAAGGTTTTTGAGCCGCATTTGATCGCCATAGCTTTCCGCAGCTGGTTTTTAAAATGAATTTTCAACCACCTCCAATGCTACGACCACGTCGAGATACACAAATTCCACTGAGATACAGAGATAACTCACCTCCGCAATTACTACAAAACAACAACCAGCGAAAAAGATGCAGAATTGACCCAAAAAAAGTTGATCGAAATAATGTCGATCAAGCCTTGGCAGTGATAGCATCTACGCCAGAATGCGCAAATGAATCACCAATACTTATTTCAACAGAACTCCCTCATTTTGAGGCCAATTATGTTCAAAATCGAACTAGAGCTTCTTAATATATATGTTTATCGGAATTGGGCTTTTTTAAGCTCTTTTTTAGTGATTTCGTGGTAGAAATCCTCTCTAAAGAGACTAATTTATACGCTAAATCTCAACTTCAGGATCCTTTATATCCTCCTCTTTCTCTCCTGTCTAAATGTTACTAGGTACCTACTACACCAGCAGAAATACATGTATTTCTAGGCATAAATCTCTATTTTGGCTTGTACCTATTAATAATATAAATAGACTATTAGAAAATTCATAATCTTAGTCAATTTATAAGTCAAGATCAATTCGAACTTATTCATCATTATTTTAGTATAAATAGTGCTCCTCCTGCTCTAAACACACTCTGATTTTATCGAATTCAACATATAGCTGACCTTATTCGAATTGCTTATTAAGATGCCTATTATCTCTCCTCTTATATCATTATTAACGAAGCATGGTCGCCTTTACAGGCTATTTAAGAGATATAATTAAGCTAAAGAACAAGCCTATTAATACTGGCTACAAACTATAATATATTAGCAATTATAGCTATATTTAAAGCTGGCTATTTTATTCTCAAATAGAAGGCGTTAAAACGCTTAAAAAGGGTAGAAAAATAAACTAGTCACGCCTACACTCTGCAGGCAAAACGTATATAAAGGATTTAGCACTTATATTTGCGCTTGTTTTATGTCTTATAGAATAGCTTTTAAAACAGCTCAAATTCTGTATCTATTTAGATAATCTGTTTCTAAATCTGCCTATTACATAGTGCCTTTTAGCTCTAAAGATCTATTATATAAGTATAATACGCAAAAAGACTAATAGATTTCCTTTATATTTTTAGAGCTATTTTAAGAAAAATAAGCTATTATAAGACTCTACTATAGCAGAGGTTATTAATAATAATACTCTGTTACGAATCCTCCCGCGACCTACGCCAAGGACCATATTCCCTGTGGCACTGACCATGGCTCACAGAGCTCATCTCGGACCCAGCTCCCCGCCGCTATTCTAGCCATCACTGACGACAGGTACCCACAGTTGTCTGTACCTGGCCTCAGCGAGATAAGGGGCACGGACATGTATATAGAGCGTTGTGTTCCCACTTTCGTTTCCTTTTCTTCACGCTTCGTCTTGTATATTAGGCCCAACCATAGCTCTCCTGACATTACGAAGCGTCTCACTTATTTTTATCTTCTGGTCCTTAGGTCCGCCTTAACCTATTTTCCCTTTGTCATTGTTCCTTGTTGCTCAGTCTGGGCAGTGGAAGAACCACTGCCTCTCCTTCTTTCATCCTGTTCCACGTCCCTTCCTCCTCGGAAGAGTCCGAGATCTCCCTTAAGTCCTTTTTATCTGCGGAAGCTATGGCTAACGCCCGGATACGTCTTGACAACGACATAGTCGACCTACAAGAACCCTCTCGTATACCTATCCCTACGCATAGTCCGGCTCCGATTTACACTCCCCAGCCCTCTGAGCACCCAGCCCAAGATCCGACTCAAGGCTTAATAGCTTAGACCTTGTTAGCGATAACTACAGTCCTACAACAGAATTAACAATTCCAGCATGCATCTGCAAAGTCAGAAAAGACTACAGACGTTCCTATATTTAGTAGCCTAAAGCCTAATACCCATGAAGACCTAGAGAGGTTCAGGGTAGGCCTCACTTCAAAATTCAGAGTCAATGCTGACAGATACCCCACGCCTATATCACGTGTCCACTACGCATTCTCTTAACTTACAGATCATGCCTTAGACGTCGCTCTAGATAACATCAACGAAGGGATCTATCCGGATTAGGTAGATCTAATCGAAGAACTAAAGCTTAACTTCGGTGATGCTGACCCGGAGTACTCTGCCATCTGCCGTCTTGTAAAGACGAGGCAAACGCACCGACCCTTCTCCGAATTCTATCCGGAATTCAAGCAGACCGCTAGAAGAACGCCATTTCGGGACCATGGTCTTAAAGGACTGCTCCGACTTGCACTATCTAAGGAACTCACAGAGAAGCTGGCCATGGTTGACGTTAGAGACATGTCATATGAAGCCTTCGTCTAAGAGTGCACTCGGCAGGATAACCTACTACGCGCCACGCTGTCACGACAGGCAACCAAGTCATGGAAGCCGCCCATGAGTCCAACTGTCTCAGTTCCGGCCCCCGCCCGTCCCGTCGCGCCTGCCCCTGTTTCCTATGACCCTATGGATATAGATCACTCGGTCCGCAGAGCCTCCAACGAACGCGAAGCCGAACGAGAACGTCAACGCAATCTAAGCCTTTGTTACTACTGCGCGGGCCCGGACCACAGAGCTAATGCATGCCCAGAAAAGCCAAAGCCACAGAACAACCTTTATACCGTCTCTTCTACGCCTACTATAGCGTCCTTGACTCCGGTGTTCACCTTAGTAACCTCGCGAGCAACTACACCTATTGCCTCAGCCTTCCTCGCCCCTCTTCCTCTGTCCGGCAGTTATATTAATATAAAGTCGTTAAACAAAGTAACCCTGAACTAAGTCGCGTTTAGGGGACTAAGAAGAGGTTAGCTGCTACTAATATAGTAGATAGCTCAGCAATATGATTAGGTTCTATTTCTCTATATTTAGCAGACCTTCCTCTTGACTCCAAGTGCTTCTTAATTAAGTATAGTATTAGATAATTTAAATGTCAAGCCCTAATTGACTCTAGCTGTTCTGCAGTAGCATATATTAGCGAAGCTTTTGCGTAACTCTTCCCTTATAAAAAATTAGAAAGTCAAAGAACTATAGTAGGCTTTAATAATTAGACCTTTATAATAACCCATATTGCTAAAGTTCCCTTGTCCTTTGCACCTTCTAATATCTATTAAGAAGTCCTGTTAATATTCGTTGTCTCTAAACTAAAATATAATATTATTCTTAGAATGCCCTGGCTTAAATAACATAATCCGATAATAGATTAAGTACTAGAGACCATTATATATAATACAGAACACTGCCATAATTATTACCTTCAGAAGAATAAAGAATACCCTATTACTTTTGAAGCTATATAAAGAGCATAGAATAACAAACCCTGAGTCTAAAGACAAATAAAAGCCATAGATACAACTGTAATGCTAATTATAATAAGAGTAATAGCCTTTAATTACTTAAGCAAGCAAAGAGACTATAAAGTCTTTACAGTATTATTAAGAGACATTAAGAAAGCCTTGAAACCTAAAGAAACTATAGATCCCTAGACCAGACTTCCTAAGCAATACTATAAGTTCCTATCCTTATTTGATAAAGCTGCTGCTGACAAGCTTTCACTATACCGCCCTAAAGTAAATCACAAAATTAAGTTATTACTAAATACTAAACCACTATTTAGAGCCCTATATAACATGTCTAGAAATGAATTAGAGGTCCTAGACAAAACACTAAAGGATTACTTATTAAAGAACTTTATTTATATATCCAAGTCCTTTGCTGCTGCTCTAGTCCTATTTATTAAGAAACCTAGAGGAGGTCTATAGTTTTATATAGATTACTAGGGCTTAAACGCTATTATAGTTAAGAACAGATACTTGATTCCCCTGATTTAAGAGACCCTAGACAAGCTCTGCAAAGCTATATAGTATACCAAGTTAGACATTATTACTACCTTTCACAGAATCAGAATGGCCTACAGAGACGAATAGAAAACAGCCTTCCGCACACATATAGGCTTATATAAATAGAACATGGTCCCCTTTAGCCTTTGTAACGCTCTAGCCTCCTTCTAGAACTATGTCAATAATGCCTTAAGAAAGGATATCCTAGATTGATTTGTCTTAGCATATCTTGATAACATCCTAATCTTTAGTAATTCGCTAAAAGAGTACTACTAACACGTGAAGACAGTACTAGGCAGATTAGCTGTCACTAGACTACAACTCAGACTACAACTCGACATAGGAAAATATGAATTCGAAGTTCACAAGACGAAATACTTAGGAATAATCATCCAAAGCTATTCAGAAGATGGCAAACCCGGACAAATACGCATAGACCTAGAGAAGATAGCTATGATTCGAGATTAAGAAAAGCCTAATAATGCGAAAGATATACAAAGTTTCATAGGATTTGCGAATTTCTATCATTAATTTATTAAAGGATTCTCAAAGATGGCCTTACCCCTGACCAAGCTTACCCGAAAAGACGTCCCTTTCAACTAGGGAGAGGAAGCCAAAAAAGCGTTTCAGACGCTAAAAGACATGTTTACAAGCTCCCTAGTCCTACAGCACTTCAACCCCGACTTACCTTGCACTATAGAGACCGACGCCTCAGACAACGTATGCAGAGGAGTCCTGTTTTAACCTAATAATAAGGGGATCCTGCAACCTGTAGCCTACTTCTCGAAGCAACATGCCCTAGCCGAGAGCAACTACAAGATTTATAACAACGAAGTAATGACTATAGTCTTTAAAGAATAGCGCCCGGAGCTAAAAGGGTCCTAAGAACTCGTACAAGTTGTAATAGACCACAGGAACCTTGAATACTTTATATCGTCTAAACAACTATCCTGCTGACAAGCCTGTTAGAGCGAGTTCCT